AGTTGGGACCGGCCATGGCGGTTTTCAAGATATTCCATAGGAAAATCAGTTAAGGATAAATGCGTATTACTTGAGCTATCTGCGGTTGGCAGACGATATTCTCTTACTTTCAAGGTCGCCAGAGGAACTCCAAAAAAAATCCATGAGCCGAAAGACTTAGCAGCAAGGTAGGGCTGAAAATGAACTGAAGAAGAGTTAGATGTTGTTAAACCAATTCTTGACGCAGCCACCTGTTGAAGAAGTGTTAAACTTCGTCAATCTGGAACAGCTTATATCAGCATTGGAGAGACGATCAACAAAAATGACATGGAACACTTTTGAAAGATGAAAAATATTCTCATTCGAGAAAATTCCATTGTATGTGAAACGGAAAGTATTCGATTGGATTGTGCCCCATGCTAGTGGCAAAAGTGGCTATGATATTGAAACCCGGAACCTGCTTAATGAGGCGTAAAATTGCAGCTCAATGTCACTCCTCAGCACAGTGTACAAGTTGCTGCAGCCCTGCTCTATTGCACCTAGGAGGGCCATTTTTGCAAAGTGAGAATCAAACAGAGAAAATATTATTTTTTCACAACGTGGATTTTCGCTGTTTCAATTCGGTATCATTACTTTTGATCTGATATATTCAGCGGGGATATGGAAAGTCCCCCCCCAGAACATCGGAGTTATATTTTGTCACTCGTTCGCCGCGGATCGCGACAATGTTCTTTGTTGAAGCATAATTTTGTTCAACCCGTGTTTGAGACGAGGTTCTGCGTCATATACACTACAGGTAGTTAAATGCATTGCAGGCGTTGTCTGCTTGAATCGTCTCGCTAGTTGTTTAGAAGCAAGGGGGCGGTGCAATGGAGCTGCTGGTGTAAAGTGAAAAATTGCTTTTTCTTTCTTTACACTATGCATTCGCCGATTAAATCCAGTATCATTATTTTTAATGCAAGATAAGAAGCGATGGATTACTTAAAGACTCCATTCTGGAACCTCTACTCTTCAGCATTTACGCAAGCGAAATGCCTCCAGCATCAGTCAGAGAGCTTGCCTACGCAGACGACATGACAATTACGCTCCATGGAGAAGTCTGATCATTGATTGACAAAAGCTGACGATGATTATGATGATCACAACATAAGACATTTTTCGAATAACAAGTATGTCAGCTGAAAACTTTGAAGTTTGCCAATATTCTGGTATATATCTGAATAAAAAAACTGAAAAATGTAACCATTACCAGATGTTAGACCGTTCAATAATAATCGACCTCAGCGCATACTGAGAAATAATTGACTACATAGAATTCGATTAATTTGTTCCAGCATGTCATCATCCAAGTCTCTCTTGTGGAAATGTGAAGTGTAGAAAGAACAACGGAGAGGTAAGCAAATTTCCTCACACGCAGACTAGACTTTTATAGATCGTTTTCAACGACGACCTATCACATCAGTTACGAGATGAATGGAGGTCGTTAATCGTAGCAGTTCTATTGCGTAAGCTCTGTTTGGCGTTAAACAGGGAAGAGGGTTGCCAAAAACAAACGAGACATTGGTACAGTTGGACACATGACAATTTTCAGTTCTCATTGGGGTTGTTCCAATATACCATTTTCGATGTTACTTGCACCCGTTCTAAGATTCTATTAATTTGCGTCCTCAGACTATTAGAAAGCGAAAGATTAAATGAAAATCTGGTTTGAGGTCGAGAGTAGACAGAGACATGTGAAACCTCGAACAGAACCGTTGGATGCTCCCTCACTCGAAAACGAATAGTTGTACCGACGCGGAACCAGGTTAATACCTTGACTTACGCCGGATTGTCCTATTCGTAGGAAGCATAAGTGGTTCGCTGAATAAACATTTGACAGGCTTGAGAAGTCTTGGTTTTTTTCTTCCTACTTCCTCCATTCATTATCGATCCGAAGGCGGTCGCGGTAGTCAATGAATGTCGACTTCTTTGTCTGGCGCAATCTGACACAAGTGTTCCCTACGGTGAAGGTGTCACCAGCTAGTTGTCAAAGTTCTGTTTATTTTACATTTCCAAAAATGTCCGTAGCTCATCGACAGCGACGGGCGTTCAGTTGGTCGTCGAGGTCGAGGTCTCTGAAAACAAGCATATGTGTAGAGGTAATCGAAATGGCGATAAGCTAAACGAAAGACCGATTTGGGGTCTGCTGGCGTTGTTCCAAGTCCATCGATCGAGAAATGAGCCATCTTTGCGCTTTTCGACTGGCCTGGTCTCTAATCTGCCCATCTGACAGCATCGCCGATCAGAC